GAGGAGCCAAGGCCTTCCAGGCCCTCTCCCCTGTAGCATAATCACTCCCCCTTCAAACATTTTTTATATGTCACCTCTGTAGCAATTTCCATACAATTAACTATTAAAAGAACAAAACCCCTTTTTTTTTCTCTGTTTCTTAACTATTACTAAATATTTTTTCCCTTTTCACTGTATATAACTTGATATAGTAGAAAAAACTCTCAATTTTGATTTAGACGACATAAATTAGACAACATGTGAGTGGCGGCCTGGGGGTTAGGGCACTGAGCTAGGAGTCCAGAGCTCTATACTGGTCTATACTTGACAGTGTAATTGTAATGACAATTTTAAAAAAGTAGAAAATAAATTAGAGGTAATCCAATTGAACAGAGATATTATGGCTTTATACTACAGGCACCCAACCTAATAATGTTTACACGGTTCTTTTTAAGCCTAAATAGAACCCTTGCACTGGGCTCCATGAAATGACATAAACAGACATGGTGCCATCTACTGGCAGTACCACTGGACTGCCAGAAAGCCTGATAGTGGTCACCGACACAGCTATTAAAAATATCCCAACCATGCTGGTGGAAACACCAACAGCTGTGAACATAGGACTTAAAAGTATCGCTAACATTAGCAGCACATGTGTCTATTAGGGATGGAACGGTTTATGAAAACCATCCGAACCATTCGGTTCGACTGTCGGTTGTCGGTTCGGTTCGCGTGTGTTGCGTTCAGTTCATGCGCTGCTCCTTTTTCTCATAGGCGAAGCGTTTACACTCCAGAGCAGAAGGTGGCGGTACTGCGACCAAAGCCAACCACCAGTAAACATGAAGAAGAAGAACCGAAGCAGCATCTTTTTAGACTTGATCTTGAACTTTTTATTTTATAATCACACTGGGAGTTACCCACTTGCTACATGCCATTGCTTCGGCTTGTTGATCAACTCTATGCATGTGCAGTAACGTCATCATGGTCACATGCTGTTGTTATAAAGAATGTAAAGAGAAAGGCTAAGTTAACTAACAAACTGAGGATAAACAAAGATTACAGAGACAAAAATAACATTACTATTCCGACAAGACGACATCATTTATCATAAAATTGTTGTATACAACCAGTGCGTTAATGCTGTAAACTGTAAATAACAAAAATTGTCAAATAACCTGACACTGTAACTTTAATTCAAACTTTATTGATTCTGTTTGAGAAGCGAACATGAAAACCAGACTCAGGATACCATCCTTAATAAAAGTGTGTATTTTGCATAAAATAACACAGAATATATTCATCTAAGTTTGTTTTCCAATCACACTATTCCTGTTCAAAACTCCTACTAGTAAACTACTTTTATTAGTTAATTTGATTTGAGTGTTGAGAACCAAAAACACTTCTAATTTTGCAAAGGTTGAGGTTTAAACCTTTCAAAGTAACATCTTAAAGGCAAAGTCAATGAAAACAATCATGTTTAGAGCTTTATCAGTGGACTAACTTAAGCAGCCGTTTATAATCATCCGGCGTTGTAAATGTAGGTCAGAGCGCTGCTTGAAGCTGCACTCACAATCACTATTTTCAGCTGAATCTATAAACAGCATTTGGGACCATGTTCATGAACACTGGAAGGTCCTTTGGCATTGCCATGGGGGTGATAATACATCATGTTTTGGAACATATGTATACCTCCTATTTGCGGAGCTGCTACTAAACATATAGAGATAATAGTCTGGTCAGGATTTTAAGGCTGTGCTTAAAACAGGCCTATTAAAGCAGCTGGGGTGGTTCAGGCTAAGGACATCTGTCTGCAACTGCCTCTCTCTGTTATACATTTTCAATATACAACAGAAAAGGCATTAAGCATTTAGTAAAAAAAAAAAAAATCTTGGTGACAATAAGGCCCTTTTACAAACTAAATAAACACTACCACACAGCGTCCAAGTCTCCTATCACCAGAAAACGTATATCTTGTGTAAACATCTTATTAATTAAGGACATTTTGCCATTAGTGGCTTTTATCAACAGCAATCAGACAGCAAATGGGCAGATAGGTATGAAGTGAATTTTGTTCCATTATTGTTGCACAGCAAGCAAATGAAATGACTTTCAAATGGAAACTTGAAAAAAGGCATTTTGTAAATTGATATTTGAGAAATAAAATGCAATCCAGAAATAAAACCTTCAAATGCATTGAAATAAAAACTGGATTTGATGTTTCTTAGATTTTATTTGATATTTTCTTTCAAGTTAAATTTTCCTATCTTATTTTTGAATTTCTTTTTGTTTTTTAACAGTGTTTATTTTTCTATTCACTTGTAGGTGTGGGGTAGGGGTGTGCAAAATAATCGTCATGATGATGCATCGTGATTCTAATTTTCGTGATCTACTGCATCGATTCTTGACGGCAAGTATCGATTATTAATTTAAAAAAATTAATAAACAAAATTGCACGAATGGTTGGCAAACATCAGCCAAAAACAAGTGGAATACAACTTCCAGTCCAGTAGATGTTGCTGCGGATGTGTTGATGCACGCTGCCTTGTGTCACAAGCATTTCCGCCCGCGGGATACTGTGCCGAGTCATTCAAAAACAAAACATGGAGGAGAAAATATTGCAATGCATCGCAATAATTCAAGTATCGTGATGCATCGTGATAGAATTGCATGGTGGCCTGTGAATCGTGATTCGAATTGAATCGTGACTTCTTTGGCAATACCCACCCCTAGTGTGGGGCTGCCTCCTGATTGAGGAGTGAAGATGCATTTCTATTGGTCTGCATGAACCATAGCAACAACATTTTTATTGATCAAGAGCAAGCCTTTTTATTGGCTTAAACTTAAGAGAATATGATCTTTAAAACTTAATTAGAAAATAATTAAATTCATAAAACTCAATCTGAAAAGAAATCAAAAATTGAAATCCGTAAAATAGTAAAACAAATTTTAAACAAATAGGATATGAATTTGAAAAAAAAAACAAAAAAAAACAGAGTTATCCAAAACGTATGTTTTAAGTTAATAGCTTCTGGAGTGCATCTTTTTTCCTCCAAATTCCTATTTACAAAACATGCTCTTTGCTTTCAACAATAACGGAACAAATTCACTCCATACACAGAGAAAAGGTGACATGCAACAAAGGGCTGAAGGTGGAGAATCGAACCATGAAAAGCTATTTTGATTTTTTTTTGTAGGGCAGAAGTGTGACATCTTTACTGCAATGCTCTCTTTTTTACTCTAAAGACTTTCCCTGTGCATATATGTGAGGTCTGTCCAGATAGGTCATCAGTTTCAGACTTACTTTAAAAGAAGAAACTCCATCAGCACTGTAATTTCTTGACTATATCGAACAGGTGAGTATAGGTAAAATTAGAGGTAATAACTGGAGATTTTAGGACAAAGCTGCCAGTTTCATCCCGCTCAATAAGTTTAACCCGTTTTCACTGCATATCAGTGCAATCAGATGGAATCATGCCCACAAAATCCTAAATCTGTCTTCTTTCAACAGTCAGACTAAGCTGATCCCACCAAGGCTTTTTTTTATTTTTAAAGTTGCATTGCAGCTATTGTATAACTGTTTTAAACTTTAAAAGCTGTAGCTCGCAAATTCTCTTCATCCACCTACTTGTCCTCCTCTTTCTTCTCCTCTCGCAATCACAAACTACAATGCCCTTTCAATGGATTTCAACTGCAGGCTGGAATACTCCCAAATTCTTTCAATTGCTCAGCAAACAAAACCTGCATGATTGGGATGAGCAGAAATGTCACAGCTGGTTAATCAGAGAGGAAAGAGCCCAGCGTTAGCCCCGGAGGAGCTGAAGAGATCAAGAGCTAAGGTGGGAGAGTTGGTTAAATCAGGCAGCTGTTAGTTGCGCAAAACCCCTAAAAACACCTCCTGAACACAGCAATGATGGAAGGAGGGTACATGCAAAGCAAAATATGGTGTTTAAAATTAGATACTCAACATTACCTTTCTCAAACCCCATAATGCTTAGGTTATCCTGAGCTATTTTCTCAACATATTCTAATTATCAGTTCGTATGAAATCATACAAAAAGTTATTCACAGTATTTCGTATGTTTTTGACGTTTTTCCTCGAAAATACAAATCAGTGCACATGCGCAGGCAGACAGAGAAAAAAAGCAGATCCGCGGACGGATGTAAAACTTGGAAAAACAGTGCAATAATTACTTCTCCATGTCTCTAACTACTTTGCTTGCTGTTTTGTATGTTAGGGTTAGGGTCAGGGTTAGGGTTAATTGTATGTTAAATTCTATGTTATTGAATGGTGCGTAAGATGCGCATGCGCAAGGATATCTTGTCTCGAGGCAAGACTTAAAAATACGACAAAAAAAAACGTCCAAAACGAAGAAATTACGGTGCATAACTTTTCGTACAATTTCATATGAACTCATAATGAGAATACACTGATTTTCTATATGTATGCTGCCATAGGTTTTGGCTGCTGGAGGACATAGGGACCACTTTTCATAATTCTCCCATTCTGCAGAATTTATAAGTTTAACCCCTAACTTTTTACTCTCACAGCTATTTCACACTATAGTTGCCTTATCTAGTCTGATCAGCTTGGATTATAGATGATACAATTTTGACCTATTTCTCAGTGTTTAGTCCTGTTTCTCTCCAAGATGTAGCTATGGGCTGAGATTTTACTATGACTAACTGTATATATGCTCTTTGAATTGAAAAGACCTCCCCTACTTTGAAACATGGTGATGGCAGAATATTGCTGTAAGAAGCATATTGCTGTATTTTTTTCAAAACAGAGACAAGGAATCTGGTTAGGATTTATCGTGAAAAAAAAAGGAAAACGCTTTTAACAAAAAAACAGAGCTGGCCTTTGACTACCTGTTTGATACTCTAAAACTTTCTAATTGGATGATGGTTCTGCAAAGGTTAACGTATGACTTTAACCACAATACAATGCTTTAGATTAAAATATAATTATGAGCTGGAATGGCGGAGTCATTTGATCTACTCTGTCTGCTGTGGATTCATACCTTGTACCACTCCTGTAGCTCGTGGTCGGAGAACTCTGTGTTCTCCCTGAGATCCTGCAGCATCTCTGGCCGCAGCTTGCTGTTCTGTTTCCCCATTGCAACGGGAACGTTCTTAACGGTCCTTTCACTGGACAACAATGCCGTCTATTGTGGAATCCAGGCCGCTTTCCACACCTGCAGGTGAAAAATAAGAAAAGAAGAAGTCAATGAATCTATCCCAATTAGTTTGGAGTTTGTGAAATTTTCTGTGAAATTGAAGTTTCACAGAAAAAAGGTAAATATTAAAAAGTTAAAAATATTATTTAAAAACAAAAGTGCATTTCCTCTCATTTGAGCTGATAAATGACATTATCTAGAAGAGGAATAAGTATTTTTGTCCTTAAGATAAGATAATATAGATATGCAGCAGTGGGGGTTGTAGACCATATTTGCTACGGGGGCCAGGGTGGAACGATTCTTTTAGCCGGGGAAAAAAATGAAAAAATTAAAAGAATTAAGTATTAAAAGTGTCCCACATAATCAAATAACCACTTTCTATTCTTGAGCAGGTCGCAGTCCCCTGACCTAGCAAAAGAGAACAGCGATCTCAGTGTAGCTAAGCTGAAAGTGCAACACTCTACATATAAAATGATTTAGACTTCATGGTCATTTTGCAGACACACTATATACAAAATGCAATTTCGATACATACAGATTTTCAACAGTGAAGGAGTAGCAGCTTGGCAATGAAATGAACATTTCCATTCATAAAGTGCAGCAGTGATCAAAATGTAAACAATGTAGGAGAGAACTGGTGCAAAAGGTGTTGATGTGGAAGGTTCAGAGCAGTGCAAAAATAAGTAAATAGATATGGTGCAAAATGTAGTAGAAACACTCAGTTGAACTGTATTTTGCAGATTGACCATGTAGTGCAAGTATGATGTTTGTAGTGTGATGCAGAGTCTCAACTTGTGACTTCTTTAGAGTTTTCAATAGTTCAACAGTCTTATGGTAACAGGGGAAAAAAGCTGTTGCAGAATCTGCTGGTCCTGCATTGAATGCTGTGTGTGCTTCCCAGAGGGCAGCAGGGAGAACAGTCCATGGTGGGGGTGTGGCGGGTCATTGATGATGTTATGATCTGGACATGCAGCGCTGGGATGAAATGTCTACTACAGAGACATTTCCATTTCGTTGTCCAGTGGGCGGATGTTGGAAAGCAGGACTGAATGGTCAGGTTTTCTGTAGGGGAATTCCTTCCTTCCTTAGCTTCGTTGTTAGCCCCCTCTTATGTTGGCTTAAACACTTCTTCCACCTGCTCTTTCTCCAGCGTCGTCCGCTCCGTTAATCGGCTGCTCTGTGCACGTCTGCCTGAAACTCTCCGAAGTGGTTAAAAGCGGCTTTAATTAGGAGTCCAGAAAAAACACTTGATGACCATAGCTCTAGCAGGCGCTGGCGGTCATAGATACAGGATCAATGACTAGTTTGAAGTCTTCTAGGCGGGTTATTTTGTGGAGCTGTCGAGAGCTCCATTTAAAATCATTAACAGAGTATGGCCGTTTCTGTGTACTTGTGCGTTCTCATGTACTCGTTTACATATGAAACATCATCATTAGCCTCAGCCCTAGTACTGTTCCAATTCACAAGAACAGCAGACCGAGAACGAACAAAGTCCCCGGATGTTGTTCTCGCCCCTCCCTCTTTACCCAGCATGCATCAGAGCAGACTTGTCTGTTCTAGAGATTGACAGCTGTCCCAGCATACACTGCAGCACCTTTCAATGGAGCGCTCACAGAGCTCAAAGTATTGAGTTAAATGTTCTCTTTTCTGTTACCGTTGTTCAATAAAACTGCGTTTTAAGATAATTTGAGGTAAGAACATTATACTATTAAGCGTCACTATATGGCCCATTTACTGATTTAGTGCATAATTTAAAAAAATGTCCAAGTTGAGAGGACCTCAACCAGCAGACCTCTGAGGCTGACGGCAGCCATGTCTAACCACAGCCCGTCTGCAGCAGCCCTCTCTGTGCATAGCCGCGTGTGAAGAACCACTGCCTCTGATGGAGATTTTCTTGTTTTATTTCACAAAATGTTCATTTGATTTGTGTTTATCTGACTGTGCTCATTATTATTCCCCCACTAAATGAAAAATTTCAGAATTTATTATTATCTAGAGACTATTAATAACAGGAGGTGAAATGCAGCTCCAGAGGAGCCGAGCGTGTGGTGACGTCCCGAGTACGCTTCTTTTCGAATTGACCCATATTTATGCTGTGTGCTCCCGTTCTCTCCAAGTCCAGACTTTCCTGTATTCTTCTCAAGAACTTGGCTAGGAGACATGTTCATGTTTGCGTTCTTGTGAATTGAGAAACGATTTAAAACTCTACAATTAAAAACTGCAATTGTTACAAGAGACCAAACAGTTATGATTTCTTTACCAGCCCATATCTAGTATTATACCTGACAGAACAGAGGCTAAAAGGGGGACCAGGACCAGTTTAACAGGGGCACTGGCCCTTTCTGTACCCATCTGCAACTCCCCATTTTATGCAAAAAAAAAAAAAAATAGTGTTGTTTTTTGTTGAAGAGGTATTTTTAGTAGTTTTTGAATGCTCTTAGGGGTGAAACAATTAACCATGATTAATTGATTATATAAATAATTGTCAACTAATTTAGCAATCGATAAATAGAGACTCTAAAACATGCCTTTAGCTGAACGAGAAACCAAGTTAGAGCAGTAATTACATCAAAAATAGTAAATAAATTATGAAATTAATAGTAAGTAAAAATATGTATACATTGATTCCTATATTGTCCAAAACACAGAACTAGAGAACTCTTCTGCTCGTTCTCGTAGTTTGTACTTGACAAAGTTTTCACCTTACATGGAGTTGCTATTGGTTTCTAAATTGAGCTGGATGCTTGTTGCTTTTGAGTATCCACAAATCCATCTTTATTATAACGCTTCAAATGTTTGCTAGGTCGGATCTAAATAACATGGATGCGCCTGATGTCACATCCACAGAAAAAACACATCTCTTATTTGGAAATCATGTAAAAATCAACCTAAATAAACCAATTTAAAAAACAGAATTATATTTATTTTTTGTAGCGTACACATGAATAAATATAATGATTCCAATAGATTAGGACAGAATGAAGAAAAAGAATATAAAATCATCTGGCTGCATTTGACAGAAACGAGGCTTGTTCAAATAAAAATGAATGAATCATTAAAAAGATAAAGCTGCTTCTGAAGCTCAGTCACCAATGACATCCGTTATACTGTGACCTAATCAAGACAAGCCCTGTTACAGGAAAATGTCCCCATCATCACAATAGAAATTATGCAAGTCAGCAAGTGTTGAGGTGCTGCCTGTTTGTCACAAAACATGAAATAATCCTGCAACCACTGACGTCAAGCTCAGGCTGGCTGATCACATTTGGAACAGGGTTTATCTGGCCAGCTGAGTGTATGTTTGGGAAATCAGCTGTCTGCTGTGTTCACATCTCTTAATCCTCATCTCAGCTCAACCTGTCGGACAAAATGCGATTGCAGTGATTCAATTATGCAACGACACCGCTAAATATTTATGGTTTATTTTATTTATTTTCCCATATGGATGGATGTAGACTTTAGCTGTATTTGATTTTACTGGAATCTTGAATCTACATTCAGCATGAAAAGCTAATCTGGTTATTTTAGTCTCACCAACCCCAACTGGAGCAGTTTTGGTTCAATCAATGACAAAATAAACACTTAAATAGTTTCTTTTTTAATAAAATATTATAATACAAAAATTATACAATGTTCCATCTTTTCATGCAAATATTGTAAAAAGAAATTTAAATGGATCTCTATGGCAGGAATTAGAGGAGATATTTGCTTTTTTTCTTTTCTATATGCATCTTGCAGTAAAAATGATTAAATCCCAGACTTTGCTCAGACTGCACAGGAATGTGCAGGATGTTAAGAAAAAAAAAAGTCAAGGAGGCATGTGTAATACATAAGGGGTGCAGGCGTGGGCGTTAACGGTGTTTACTGATGCCTGGCGAGCACCTTCGTGCACAGAAAGCAACAAAACCCACACATCCCTCCGCCTCTTCGCTCGGCTAATAAAATTAGACTCGTATTAAATGGCTCATCCCGAAGGCATTAGAGTTAAATGCAGGTGCACTGACAGGATTGCTGGGAGCTCATTTCCGTGCTGTTGCAGCGGGTGGGGGGGTGGACTGTCAGCAGCAGTTGGGCCCGGTTTTGCTCCTCAGAACTACCTTAACTCATCATAGCATGGATTCTAAAAGATCTTCGAAGCATTCCTCAGAGATTTTGAGTTTAAGTGGGGCTAAAGTTTCAATATACAATACTAACTGAACTCCCTTTATATCAGGGGTCTCAAACCGGTTCCAGAGAGGTCTGTGTGGCTGCAGGTTTCTTTTCAACCAAGCAATGGCACACCAGACTCCATTCATCTCATCAAGTCATAATGTTCAGATTGGACTCAGTTGATGAGATGAATGGAGTCTGGTCAGCCATTGCTTGGTTGGAAAGAAAACCTGCAGCCACACGGCCGTTTCTGGAACCGGTTTCAGACACCTGCTTTATATAGCTTTATTTGCTTTTATCCATCCATCCTCTTTCTCTTCACAGGGGTGGCAGCTTCAGTAGGGAGGCCCAGACGCCCCTCTCTCCCAGCCACTTGCACCAGCTCCTCCAGGGAAATCCCAAGGTTTTTCCAGGTCAGCCGATAAACATAGTCCCTCCAGCGTGTCCTGGGTCTCCCTCTGGGTCTCCTCCCTGTGGGACATGCCTGGAACACCTCACCAGGGAGGAATCTTAAAACTATTTCATATCAAACAAAATTAAGAAATTTACTTTAATAGAAGTTATGGCCACATCATCCAGCCCTGGGTTTAGCATTAGGATTGGTGGGCCCTATAGAAGATTGTAATTTAAGAGGGTCATAGGATGATTCTATTGGGTATTTGGTTCTGGTCCTTACGGTCTCTAAATAGGGTGTGTAACACTGGTTGGGCTGAAAATGGCATATTTGCTGTTCTATGAGCCCTAATGTAAGCCTTGTTAAAAGCCCTAGAATGAAACGACAGGTTTCCTTTCTTTTATGGAATGCTCATGAATATTTAGATGAGCTGTGCGCTGATTGGTTGGTTTACAACGAGCGAAGCTGCTGAGCA